CATCACTTTTATTATCATATAACCAATAATTCAGCCACCTTTCTCATCTCCTTGACTCTTATGGCTTCTAGCTTATCCATAGTCTTCCTTCACTTCAGAAGTAGTTTATATGGATTTGTGTAAGATACACTTGCAGAAAAAAATAATATATTATTGTGCTTCACATTTTGGAGCGCAAGAACTGGTTTCATTTCAGATGAAACAAATGTGGGAGATTTGCTGCAGCCAGGCATTCAAACCACAGCGGCAAACCTAGAGTGGAACTGTTCATAGCATGGGCATCAGGTCCTCAGTAGCAAAATGTAGCCAGAATCACCCTGGCAGGTGGAGCATTTCCTTGAAAAGGGGCTTGTGTGTATTGACCTCTTCATGCACAGAAAAGAGATGGCTTAACCCTCATACTGCCTGAGCAACTGTTCAAAAAGTCTATTTCTGTATTTAAAATAAGAAAAAGAGATTTGGAGGAATGAGCCAACAGCATGGCCCTTCCCCTTCCATGGTTAGCATGACTTGTAAAGTAGAAATGGTGTAAGGAAACACTGCTGAAATCTGGCCCCTCTACATCATCTCCTGAGAAAAGATGCCCTCCTACAGTTCTGAGTGAAAGGTATGAGAGGTAGGATTAAGTTATATCCTTGGAATTGCCTATTGCCCAGCTGAAAACTGATAAACACACCGAGGACTTTCGTACTGTCTTCATCCCTCCCTCCCTTCCTTCCAATCTCCCTCTCTTCCTTCCTCTCTGTCCCATCTGTTGGAATCTGTGGTATTGATGATTCCGAGATTGTAGAAAGTCTCTGTCTTTCTGCCCCACTGCCAAAGAAGAAGCCATAATTCATCTGTGCTGGTTTCAAGGTTGTTTATTCTGTTTATCTCTAACATGTTCTGCTGCCCTGCCGCAGCTCTGTCCTGCAGGGCAGCGTGTGGGGCTCTGCCCCTCAGTGGGATGTTACAAACATTAAATACCAGAAACTACCTGTGCTATATTTACAATAATGTGCCAATATCTGTCACCTACGTTGGACAGTGTGTCCCCAGCCTGGACCAACAGAAAAATGCCAACACTACAGTGAAACATGGAGGGCATGAAGAAGTAGAAGAAGGACAAGACACACCCAACTTCCTCCATCTTGTCCCCTTTGGACCCCTTATCTAGAATCCTAAAATTTTACTTTTGCACCCGTGCCACACTTAATTATTACTTATATCAAACACTCAGAGCTTGTAATTCATCCTGTAGGATTGAAAACTCTTTTCCATGGACAGAGATCACAGACAGTGTCTCTGGGGGCTCTGTACAGGGGGGTTCCTGACCCCCTGCCAGGGTCCCAGGCCAGACTCCCACACCATCCTGCCTTTACTTCTGATAGAGTATTGCTGAGGACAGAAGGGAGAAGGAGTCCTCGTCACCCTTTTCCCTGGGCTGAGACAAGCTCTTCCCTCCCTGTCTGTGGCATGTACAGCAACATCCCAGCTCCAGCCTGCTCGGCCTCCTGGGAATCCGACTGGCAAGTGAGGTGACAGCCTGCTGTGCCATCCTGAGATTTCGGGATGTTTGCGCTGGGTCGTTCCTACAGAATGAGCGGGAGGGGAGTTGAGGGTCAAACTCCAGATTTAGAAATGCACAGCCCTAGTCAGAGAACAGCCTTTGTCTCTGTGGAGTATAAAGACTCCTGAGTAATGGTAAAATAGGAACAGCCCATTATCACCAGGCACTAGGCTGAGATCTGTGGGGAGGGCGGATTTCACCCAGCAGGAGATGGGATGTATTTAACATGGATAGGGAACAGCTATGCCAGGCTGGGAATCTGCTGTGGTAAGCCAGAAGTTCCATCACCAGATTCTATAATGTAGAAACCCTTAAAAAATTCCTAAGTGTCCTTCCATCTGCTCTGCTCCACAGCTCAAACTAAAACATGCTGCAGAGGACTATCCATCTTGTCAAAAGTTGGAATTTTAAAAGCAAAATATAGCAATATAAGAATGATCTGTCTCTTGAGAAACATTTCCTTTTGATGATTAGATAACAGTAGAATAATAGAGACCTTTCAAAGCATTTATGCAAAAAGGCTTATTATTAAGCCACAAATACATTCTAAATTCAAAAGGCAAGATTGAGGTGCTTTAACTTCCCCTGTTTTGGGCTGTGGTTCATGTATCACAAGCTGACAGCTGTAGCTCAGAGGACAGATGTGCTCCTGGCAAGTGATGGGTGTTTGTGAGCAGGAACTTCCTGGGAGATATTGACCAGGTCACGGGCAGCTGCTCGGAAATTTGTTAAGTAATCTGTCTAATATGTCCAAGGAGTAGCACACCCGAATCAATCCATCCAAATGCCTCAGGAATATCAATAAAGAGATAATAAATCTGATAATTCTCTGTGATTTGCTCTGGTGTGAAGCTACTGGGGAAGCCTTGTAAAGTATGAAGATTAATTCTAGTACACATTTGTTAGGGTGAGAAATGCTCCATGCCAGAACTGTGGCTGGTGAAAAATTAATTTCAAATTAATTTCAAACTTTATTTTCTGCAATAATCTGCTGTCATAAAAGTGAATGGCAACAAATGGCAATTGCTGAGGATGTTTTCAAAAGGGAACTAAACCCCATGTTTACAGAATGGGTTTTCCAGCTTTTTTTAAATTTTTGTGGATCTCCCACTTAATTTGTGTTCATCAAAAAAACATTTATTTCTTTCCTGTTGTTCTAAATTTTAAACCATAGTAAAGATAAAAATAAACCATCAAGTATAACATAGTAAATACAAAGCCTAAAAAGATAATATATATATTTAGATAGTTAATATTCTACTCCAATTAGGTACATTAGTTCTAAGTCCTTTGTGAGAAGAAAAAAAAAAGTCCCATCGGGCACAGTCCCGAAGTCAATGTTTTTTGTTTCCTTTGACTGTCATAGGTGTAAAATCAAGTATATAATCTAAAAGTTATGTTATATGTATTATATATTAATTATAGTAATCTATAATTTTTTTGCTATTTTTCCCATTTGTCAGACACCTTTAACAATGAATCCCAGCACTTCTTTTTCTGACTTAATGGTGTGAGAGAAGTGATGTTTCTCAGCGCAAACTGACACTCTTGAAATTTTTTTTTAATGTTTGGAAAATTCAGAATTCCATTTGTGACTTTCATTCTAAAAATTATCAAAATTACCTCCATCTTTTCAAATTACCTCCAGATTCTTTGAAGATCAAGAGTAGTACTTTAGCCATCTATGTCTTGGTCATTGAAAGAAATTTGTTTTAAAAATAAAGAAGAGAAAGGAGTTGAAGTTTCAGTTTACAAAAACAAAAGGTGAAAAACTATTAATTCAGGCAAAATGCTATTTTCATGATTTGAGTCTGCTAAATTTGACCTTTGCACTGTAGAATCTTTAAAACTTTATCGATTTTTTAATATATATTCTTAAATTTTTACTGGACAGAAGTCTAACTGTGCCTTAAAATCAAACAGAATACTCTTTGTCCCCTTTGTTCATACCACCATGCTGTCATAGTATCTGCCTTTTGTAAATCTAGATAAGGAAAAATTTATGCTGAAAGCAAAGTAGATGATGGAATGCCTATTTTAGTAGGCATAGATAGAAGGAAGGCAGCAGGCCAGAGATATTTCATAGCAGTTTGTTCCTACTACGCTTACCTTGAATAAGGGGTTCTTCTCATTCCCTGTCCGAAGGAAAAACTGTAATAGCATTTAGCATTTAACGTCTTGGTATCATAAAATTTTGTTTTAGTGTTTTTTCTCCTCCCATGAGCTCAGTTGTCTCTCTGAAAATTTGGTTTTGTTTTGCTTTAGGAACAAAAATTTTGATTCCCCTTGTAGCTCTTCTTCTGGCATCCCACAAGATACTGATTGCAGTGAGGTGTTTTGCCCTTATGAAAGACTTACACTTTATAATTTTGAACATAACTTGTAGCTCCTTATTCTATGGACTTTGATCCATATTCATAATTTATATATTAAATGCCAAGTTTGCACAGCTGTGAAGTAGAGAATGCTGGTGGGACCTCATTTCAGCATATTCAAAGTGGATTTGACCAAAGTTCCTTGACGCAGATGAATTTGTATCAAGTATTCTTCATAACTGCTTTTCCCCCAAAAGATCTGATTTATTTTAGGGCAGAAGTACATGTTTCAGGTTATACTATGCTTTTTATTAAGAGTGACTTTCACTGTGAATGTGAATGGGGACATCAGGTTATGCAAAGTGGTAATGAAGGAAAATGTCCTACTGTGCTACAAGTTTTATATTGAATGGCTACCACTTGAGGGACTGAAATTTCCATTTAGTCCTTAAGCCACATAGCAAAAACAATACCGCTGCCTGATGGCATTAAAATATGTATTTCAAAGTCTAGAAATGTTATGCAAAAAGTAGTTTAAACCCAAGAATTTTACTTGTGCATGGGTTTGCATGTGGAGATACCTGTGTATGCTAATAAAGAAGACTAATTAGAAGCATGTCATGTTTGGATTGCATCTTCAGTGTGTCCATGTGTGATGGTTTGAATCATGGGTCTCTTGTGGTTTGGTCTTGTATCCATGTAAGCAAATACCCAGAGATGACAAACACGCTGAGACCTGTGTTATTTAATGTTATTAATGGTAAAGACAAAGGGATTGAGTGCACCTCAGCAGGTTTTGCAGATGACACCAATCTGAGGGGTGTGTGGTCTATTTCTAAATGGTGAAAATCAGTTTTTCAAAGAAAGGCACTTTATTCTATTTGTAAATAAAATCCATACAAACATGGCTTGAACTCTAGAAGTCAAGAAGCTGAATTTGCCAGCTTGAGGAGGGGGAAGGCTTTTTGTTTGTTCTCCATTTGTTTTTGTTGTTTTTCTAATTCTTTTTTTCTTCTTTGTGAAACATTGAACTTAACAAGGCTGACTTGAATTAAAATAATATTGGAATTATACAGTGCAGTGTTTCTATAGAGTCTTTTTCTCTGAAAGAGCTGTGATTTGGTTTTATTTTACAGGACTGGAAAGAAACAATTTCAATAGATGTCAGCTTCTGTGGTCTGTGATGCTCCACTCTGAGTGATGCCACGTTCAGCACTGAGTAGGAGCGGCAGAGGAGAGAGGCTTCTCAGGATGAGGTAGGTTTCACTCTTTTCCACAAGGCATGATGAAGTTCTTCCTAGTCACTTTTCTGTTTAATATAAGTGAAGTCAGTCAGGTATTCCAAGTCTGGCTTCATCTTGACTTGTGATTGGTTTTGGTGGCTTCCTCTGTGTTGGTATTTACCCAACAGAGTAATTAATTAATGAGTCCAGGTGTTGTAATGGGCCACAGTGTTCCATGAGCTTTCATTTGTGTCACAGTTTTGTTCCAAAGCATTCTTGGGCTGTTGTGACTGTTACCTGTGACTATAGGCACACTCTGTAGTCCCTGTGTACGTGTAATCAGAAAGAGCATATCTTAGTTAGCCTTCCTCAGGCAAGATTATTTTCTAACAGAATGGTTTCAGGAGAGTGATTTGAGAAAGGTTTGCATGTTATTATTATTATTAGACATGATCTCTAGTCAAAGTGCAGTGCAATGAATAGGTACTGCCTAAAGGCCTTGGTTCTCTTTTACTGTTTTCTCACTGGTGGTAAAAGACATATTGAGGTGAGAGTTTGTTACTTAAACATGGGACTGGTAAATATGACACAAAACACGCAATAGACCCACAGCCATCTGGAATGGCAGCTGAGCCCTTGGCAGGATTCTGTAGGGTATGCAAAATGCATGAGTTGCCTATGCTTAGCAGTCCTATCCTATATGTTAGATTTCTCTCTCAGGAAACTGTAAAAATTGGTTCAGTTTGGATTGTGATAGACTGTAATCCCAGATTCAGAGCTGATGTTGGAAATGAGAGGCACCAGGAGACCTGCAAGGAAAGAAGGGTTGAAACAAAGCAAGTAAAGCAACAACTAGGTGCCGAAGACCACCCTAGGTGGCGAGGTGGCTTCGTGTGTTGAAAAAAATTCTCTTTTAATTCATGCTTCTAAAGAAAGGCTTAGTAGTTTCTTGTTGTTTGGTCTTATGGTTGTTTATTGTATTATTTAAAAGATTGGTTTTTTAGGCTGCTGCAGTTTGCTCAGCAGCTCAGGCAGAGGCAAATACACCTCTGACATCTTTTTTGTCTCCTGTTCTTTTCTCCCCCTGCCCAGGGCTGGTGTTATCTTTTATATGGTAAATTACGTGTTAAATGTTTATAGTTTTTATCTAATACTTATTACTTATATTAAATGGTATTTTTCTACTTTAAACTAATCTGTGAGTGTTAACATCACTAAGAACATGGAGGTAAGGAAGAAGAAAGAGGGAGGACAGGACAGGCCCAGATCCCTCCATCTTAAAACTTCTGACCCCTATGTATAAAACTAAAACCCCCCTGCACAAGTATTAAAACCCCTCTGTACAGCACTAAACAATTTTTCCCTCTACTTTGTAACTACTTCTACTATAATATTTAAACATTTTTGACTTCTTGTTCTTCTTGCAAAGTCGGTCAATCATTCTATGGTTTAAACCTAAAATTACAGCTGGTTTAAGCTGCCTGCTAAGGTCTCAAATGCTTCTGACTTGGGCCTGGAACTTCTAAAAATGTCTGAGGGACAATTTGAGTTCCGACACTAGGAAGGTGTTGGAGAGTGAGGGGAAGGCTTAATTTATCTTATTTTCCATTGATTGCCTTTCCTACTCATACTCTTTGTGAGCTAGTAGTTTCAAGTGAGCAACATCTTTTCTGAGTTACTCTGTTGTGCATTATTTCACAAAAAGAAATGTATTAATTGCTCTGTGCTGTACTGCATCTCCTCATTGTGTACCAAGTGTAAGGGAAAATATTATGGTCAGTATCTGACATGTGGAACTAATTTGCTTCTGTTGGAGTTCAGGGAGAGGTCTTGGCTATTACAGTGGATGAAAACACTAGGAATTATAGGCACCTCACCTCATGATGCTTCATTTGTAGTTTACACTTGTGATGATATACTATGGATAAAATATGGGGACCATATCCTGGCCCCATTGAAATCAGCAGGAGTTTTTCTCTTAATTTCAACTAGGCCATGACCCTGGGAATCTCTACTGGCTCCTGGTGAAAGATTTGTTCTATTCCTGCCCCTAACTAGACCTCCTCTGAGGACTTAGTTTATAATATTGCTACCAAATCTGCTTCTTAGGTAATAATTCTCTCTTACTGAAGTTTATTTTTTCTTGATTTGTGATGTCCTATGCTCAAAGGAAACATTTTCTATACCTATATTTTTCTGTCCTTAAATATGACCATATTATTATGGGTAATTATAGACTGAATCTCAGGAAATAGTATCTGATGAAGAGATAAAAGCCTTCAGAACAATTTACCAAGGGATAGGGTGGCAATCCTATAGGTAAGGTATTATTATGCAAGAACTGCAGGAAACAAGCCTTAATTCTGAGAGGAAGACTCGATCACTTAATAGCTCTTTAATTTCATCAGTTTCTATGTCTGGAAATTCTTTCATGAGCTTATGGTGGATTTTCCCTCTATTAACAGTTTGGATTTGATTAGTTTATCTTTTTCCACAGATGAAATTATGTACTTCAGTATTATTCTTGCTGTAGTAATAGACTCTTTCACACTCCCACATCTGGAGCATTTGATGCCCACAGGTCATTTATGACTTAAAAATCCTTTGGCTAAAGGACACCAGAATTCTTATTTTCTACATAATATTTTTTTTCTATCAGCTGATCAGTGGAGCTCTTTGCTCTAATATGTTCCACTTATTGTATAGTGCAAGCATAAGAGTACATTAAAATTGTTTTCTGACATATGAGGCTAAATTCTGATTGTCAAAAACATAGATGCTACACCAAAGCTATTTCTGATTCTGAGATTTTTTTAAATGCAATTATTAATTTCTTCTGAAAAAAGGATAGATATGAAATGCTGAGTGTGCTCTTATCTTTTATCTGATTTATCTGTCTCAGTATCTCAGGTTCAACAGCTCCTATTGGAAGTTTAGTTCTATTGGTGTAACTTGTTTTAGGAATTTTACAATTTTTTTTTATTAGAAATCTCTTCCAGTTTGGGCTGGGTTTTATAAAGTTTATGCAGTGTATGTGTCCATATACATCTGTATGCTCTGTTGGGGATTTGAAGCTGAGTGGTAGAGATGTTAAAAATGTTCTCTTCCATATCTTCGGGCCCAAGTGTCCATGTGAATATTCTGTTATGCTTTGTTACACAAAGTTTTGCTGGGAAGGAAGGCCATGAAGGCACTAAGCCATTTTGTGCCTTATCCTATGGTCCTAATTTACCATTTTATGCCCTGATTTGATGCATTTTGCATCATTCCTTTAAAACTGTGTAACAAACATATTTTTCATCTTGAATTCCTTTGCCTTTACTCTAATAGATAAGTATCCTGGCTCTGGCCAGTGTCTAAGATGGTTAACATTGCAGAGGGGATGGGGGTTAAGTATTTTCAGCAGGGAAGAATCATGATGTCTGTCTACCATGGGTGTTGCTGCATTTAGTTCCCTGTGCTCTTCTTGGTGTCATTGTTTGTCACCTTCTGTACAGAACTGTGAGAGATGTTTAGGGCAGTCATGTTGACTACATGTAGATTATGTAAGTAATGAACCAAAATATTGAGCCTTGCTTGTTCCTGTTCCTTTTGGATCAACTCACTGGATCAATAGTAATATTTTGCTTTGTTAATTAACTTGCCAAAGCAAACCACTTAGTCACCTGAAAGAGTACCAATAAGACCCTAGTGTTCTTCTCCTCACAGTTGTTCTAGATGCTCAAGTATTTGAAGTATCCTGTAGGTATAGTCCTACACTAATTTGTAAAAAATCATAATATAAGTAAAACCATTATTTAATACAAGATTTCGTAGTGATAAGAATGTTTGATGGAGGAAAATTATTCACTGCAATTTGTAACTTGGAGAACACAATCCATTTGACTCCTTTTTCTGTATAATACAAAGAGTTCATCTGTTGCACAATGTTCATTTTTAATTAAACATTTTATCATAGAGCAGCCTTTTATTGACATTCCTCATAATAGAGTTGATAAGATCTTGACCTACTCTTCAATACAGCAATGTATAACTCAATACTCTGGCACACACTGTTCCCTTTGGAATTAAACCCATGCTTTTCTGATTTAATTTTAAAATTGTATGTACTTTTGGTCCCATTTATTTACTTTAACTATTTATACACCTTTTGGCTTATACATTTTGGATGCAACCATTTCTTGGGGTATCACTCCTGTTTGCTCAAACTTGTACCTAACTGAACCATTTTACTGAATCTTTTTCTTTCTTCAATTTCTTTTTAAAATTTTGCAATAAGAGGTGATTTATCACCTCATCTTGTCTCCTGCTATACAGTCTTGTCTCCTACTGTACCTTTTGTGTACAATTTTGATTAGATAGTGCTAACTTCAATCACAATTGCCTTAATCACCGGTTTATAGAATTTATGCTACCACAGAAATTCCTTAAGATACTTCATGAGAAGAGATTCCTGAAGATGTCCTCAAAGATGAACAACAAAGCTGATCCCTCTCAGTAACCTTAACATACCCTGTGCTATAAAGCTTCCCAGGATCATGTGTTTAGCCATACTGATTAGCACCCCTGTAGCTTGGCGGGATTTTTTCATCTCCAGAGGACCTGCACCAGGGCAGTGGGAACAAATCCCTTCAGTTGGTAGTGGCTGCTGTGCTGCTGCTGACACGGAGCAGATCTGGAGACAAACTGGCCACAGAGCAGCATCCAGAGGGAATCACCTAAAGTACACTTCCAGGGTTTGCTCTTTCCTGCACTGGGTTTTAGTATTCCTCTAGATGGGACAACCAGAATTCTCTAACATTTTTCTGCAGCACATCACCCCCAATGAGTTGAACACCCACCATAATCACATAAATTTCTGAAGACCATGAGGTGTTGCAAGCCCCCATTTCTCAGTAATCTCCTCACCTCTTGCTATATCACCTGTGACAGGTGATAATGACTCAATTGCCTCATGCTTCTCTTTCATACTTAGCAGTCAGTGTTGCTGTTCATCCTTCTCATATTGCAGGACTTCCACTGTTCACTATAAA